ATTCCTACACTCTGGTACTTCTACTTTTACTCAGACAGTTGCTGAACTCTCACTTTCACTCTCTCTGTTTCAAACACACACACACACACACACACACACACACACACACACACACACACACACACACACACACACACACACACACACACACACACACACACACACACACACACAGGACACACACACACACACACAGACACACCAGCAGAGAGTAAAGCAGGGGTCGTCACAATACAACATTTTGAGTTTACACAAAGTGAAGAGTTAACAAGGACATGACTACACATTTGATGGCTATGCAAAACAGAACAGGCTTTATGTTGCATACGTATGAATACTTGCTTCAGGGTTATGAATCCGTAACGGGAGTATAATGACAAAACATTATTTACCCCAGTGAGGACAGAAGCTAAGAAGGACGACTGGATTGCACTTTGTTTACTTGTGCCTTTAAAGGGCTCAGTGTTTCAGCACTTCATGTGACATTCAAATGCTTTCACTTATATGTTTTCACATTTCATTCAGTAAGGCTTTAGAAAATGTTGGATTGTGTTTTTGTGAAGGGGACAAAATAATCCGATATCTTCACATAGATATCGGATGATTTCTATCAAAGCAGGTTTGACTTGACTTTGATGAGTTGATGCTGTTTGTCATGGTCCTGTAATATGACTGGTTTTGTCTGAAGTCTGCTTTCTAAGGCGCACAAAGCGTGAGATCCAATCCTATTTGGGCTTTCTTTTGTTTCAGAGCTGACTCGGTTGTTTCAAAATCAAGCTGGCTCTTTGATGCTGTTGGCACTTGTAGATGTCGTAGGTATGTAATTGTAGCCCTGTAAATGAGATGTATTGTTTCATGTGGAACCTACTTGCTGCACGTCTCCCTTAATCAATGGGACCTACCTGGTTAGGTAAAGGTTTGATATGAAACATTGCACCTTGTGGATCTGGCTGGTTCAGAAAGGCAAAAGAAAACCAAAGCAATCGTTTGAAGGAAGGTAACTGAAAATGTTCCTGACCTGTATATTATTTCTATGCTGTCTTACTGTTAACAGCATTTCTGTTCTGATGCTATTCCACTCTCATCTTTAGGCATCAATGGTGTCCCTTTGTCTCTGGGTAATGATCCGTGCCGTGGGGCTGAAGGCAAGCAGACACGCTTTGTCCCGTACAGAGACTCCAACTCGTCTGCCTCAAGGCACGCTTTGATTTTAGAGTTCAAAGGTCAGCGCTCAAACTAATCTCTGATTGCTTTGAGGAACTTTAGACATCAGCCAGTGTTTGCACAGTCAAGTCAACTTAAAAAAAACAAAAAGAACTGCTTTATTGATTGCATCGTTAAATGGCGATGTCTCATGGTTGGCCATGTTAAACAGGATCTGTGTATGGACACCAAACCAGCTGTGTGTGCACTTTACTACTTCATATGACCCGCCTTTTTGACCTGCTATGCCGCTTCTCTTTAACCGTGTACATGTAGGGTGGATTAAGGATGAATGTATTGCGTCAGTATGACTGGTACATTAACACAGGCAAGTTGTTTACTTTTCAAACCATGCAACAATGATTTGACTTGGCACTTCTGTCATCATCAGACTCGTGATGGAAACTATGAACCCGGGAGAAATGAAAGAAATGCAACGACGGGTACAGAAACAGGAAGTAGACAATCAGATCTCAAACTGCCATGAAGGTAAATACTTTCATTAATACAATTATTGGTAATACACCTCTGTTATACATTGTAGCACAGTTTGACTATTTTTGCTTTAACTTGTGTTTTATAAATGTTGACATTTCGTATCTTCATTGAACCTTTTGTACTTCAACTTCCCTTTTTGTAAAAATACTTTTTTAATGCACATTGTTACTTTAACTTTGTATGAATAAATAAAACAATGTAACAGTCACTAACCCCATTTCCCCCAGCAGGAATAGTACTCTGATTATGTCAGGATGCTGCAAGTGAAATGCAGCTTCTCTCCATGTCACAATCTCTTGATCCTTTCACCTGTTTAGGTCCAGGAGCTGCAGGGGGTGCTCCTGCATGCCCACAGACGGACGCAGTGAGGGCCAGGCACATGGAGCAGATGGCCTCGGCGTCCTCGTCCGTCTTCTTTTCTCTCCTACAACACTGCATTCAGAGAAACCAGGCAAGATGCCTCTGTCCGTCTGAACGCTAAGAAAACAACTAGAGGTCAAATGTGTAACTGTCTGTGTTTTGTCTCTTTCAGATTGTGAAGGTGCTGAACCGTTACACTCCGGTCGGGGGGAGCCCGAGGAGGGGCGGGACTCCCTCCCATAACACTGGACACAATAACATGCTGTATATAATGTCAATATAGTTTTTAAATAAAGAGTTCAAAGTTAAATATCTGTTTGGATTTACTTCCTGTAGTTTCCAACACTCGTGCTGTCGTCCTCTGCTGTTGTTTCAATTGAAGTTCAGAAGGTTTCAAAAAGGAATGTCCTTTTGCTTTTTTAGAAAACTTTATTTAAAAATGTTTTAACAATAAATATAAAACACTGCATTGAAAATACGTACATTAGTAACATAAATACAAAATAACACAGTATTTGAGAATCCCAAAAAAAAAATGCAATCAAATCAATGTTTGACATATCACTTTTACTCAAGTACAAGACCTGAGTACTTCTACTTTTATTCAAGAACAAGACCTGAGTACTTCTACTTTTATTCAAGAACAAGACCTGAGTACTTCTACTTTTACTCAAGAACAAGACCTGAGTACTTCTACTTCTACTCAAGAACAAGATCTGAGTACTTCTACTTTTATTCAAGAACAAGACCTGAGTACTTCTACTTTTACTCAAGTACAAGATCTGAGTACTTCTACTTTTACTCAAGAACAAGACCTGAGTACTTCTACTTTTACTCAAGTACAAGATCTGAGTACTTCTACTTTTACTCAAGTACAAGATCTGAGTACTTCTACTTTTACTCAAGAACAAGATCTGAGTACTTCTACTTTCACTCAAGAACAAGACCTGAGTACTTCTACTTTTACTCAAGAACAAGACCTGAGTACTTCTACTTTTACTCAAGTACAAGATCTGAGTACTTCTACTTCTACTCAAGAACAAGACCTGAGTACTTCTACTTTTATTCAAGAACAAGACCTGAGTACTTCTACTTTCACTCAAGTACAAGACCTGAGTACTTCTACTTTTACTCAAGAACAAGACCTGAGTACTTCTACTTTTACTCAAGTACAAGATCTGAGTACTT